CATTGCTGCAAGTGTGTGTTTCAGGAGTCGCAGGGAGAAACGCTTCTGAAGGATCTCAACACCATGAGTGTAGATATTATCATGGTTGGGGCTAAATTGGGAAGGCTTGAATGTGGATTGTAGTCCATTGGGGATGATCTGGTTCCGTAGGCAGGTGCTAAGGAAGGTGATGTGGCTGTAGTACCTGGTTTGCTTCAGGACGTGGTCGAGCAGTTTCAGGGCCGAAGAGATTACGAGAGAGTTGCAGTGGGAGAGAGATCCCTTGAGGTTTGTCCGGAGGGAGGAGGGTAACTTCTTCAGGTTAGGCATCCTTAGAAGAGGCTTCGCAGTGGGGTTAAAATTGAATCAGAGATAGTAGGAACTGCAGATGCTGGAGAATCCGAGACAACAAGGTGTAGAGCTGGATGAACACAGCAGGCCAAGCAGCATCATAGGAGCATCTGATGAAGGGTCTAGGCCCGAAACGTCAGCCTCTCTGCTCCTATGATGCTGCTTGGCCTGCTGTGTTCATCCAGCCCTGCACCTTGTTGTCTCTTTAAAAATTGTCAGCTTGGCTCACAGGGTAAACCTCCTCTCTCGACTTGCACATAATATAGACTGACACTTGAGTGTAGTATTATCAAAGTTCTTCAGAGATCTTAAACTTGCCTGTGTGGGCACAATTAAAAGATCGCAAGCCAAATTTTTGAACAACAGAGTTTGCCCGTATCTGCACCATACACCTCTTAAATATACCACGATTAGCCAGTAATCTCACTGGCTGCTGTGCATAATGTGAGAGTGATAACATTTCAAAATAATTTGTTGGCTATCCAGTGTTTTGAGACATTCAAAATTATACAAATGTTTCACTGTCCACTAACCACCTATTTTGGTGTCATCTGCAAACTTACTAACCATGCCTCCTTTATTTTCACCCAAATCATTTGTATAAATGGTGGAAAGCAATGGACCCCAGCACTGATCCTTGTGGCACACCGCTGGTCACAGGCCTCCAGTGCAAGAAACAACCCTCTACTACCACCCTCTGTCTTCTACCTTCAAGCTAATTTTGCATCCATTTGGCTTACTCCCCCAGATTCCACATGATCTAACTTCACTAGCCAGCTTACCATACAGAACCTTGTCAAGCACTTTGCTGAAATCCATGTAGACAATGTCTGCTGCTGTCTTCATCAATCCTCTCTATCGCCTCTTCAAAAATCTCAATCAAGTTAGTGAGACATGATTTCCCACACCAAGCCACGTTGACTATTCCTAATCAGTCCTTTCCTTTCCAAATGCATGTAAATCTTATCCCTCAGAATCCCCTCCAACATCTTACCCACCACTGAAGTCAGGCTCACTGATCTACAAGTTCCCTGGTTTTTCCTTACAGCCTTTCTTAAATAATGGCAACACATCAGCCAAACTCCAGTCTTCCAGCACCTCACTTGTGGCTGTCGATGATACAAATATCTCAGCAAGGGGCCCAGCGATCTCTTCCCTAACTTCCACAAAGTTCTGGGAAACATCTCATCAGGTCCCAGGGACTTATCTACCTTTGTGTGTTTTAAGAACTCTGGCACCTCCTCTTCTGTAATATGAGCTCATTTCAAGACATCTCAATTTCATAGAATCCCTACAGTGTGTAAACAGGCCCTTCGGCCCAATAAGTCCACAGCAATCCACAGAGCATCCCACCCAGACCCATTCCCCTATAAACTCACCTAATCTACACATCCCTGAACAATACAGGCGATTTAGCTTGGCCAATTCACCTAGCCTGCACATCTTTGGACTGTGGGAGGAAACTCACAGACACGGGGAGAACGCGCAAACTCCACACAGACAGTCGCCCAAGGGTGGAATTGAGCCCGGGTCCCTGGCGCTGTGACGCAGCAGTGCTAACCACTGAGCCACTGAATTTCTTTCCCCAAGTTGCCTCGCTTCTATGTCCTTCTCCACAGTAAATACTGACAGGAAATGTTTGTTTATTATCTCACCCATCATCTGCGGTTCCACACATAGACAGCCACATTGATCTTTAGGGGCCCTATTCTCTCAGTTACTCTTTTGGTCTTAATGTACTTATATAATCTCTTTGGATTCTCCTTAACGTTATTTGCCAAAGCAATCTTAAGTTCCTGTTTTGCCCTCCTGATTTCCCTCTTAAGTACACTACTACTGCCATAATACTCCTCCAGGGATTCACTCAATCCCAGCTGTCTATATCTGACACATGCCTCCCTCCCTTTCTTGACCAGAGTCTCAATTTCTCATCATCCAGCATTCCCTACACTTACCAGTCTTGCTCTTCACACTAAAAGGAACATAATGTCTCTGAACTCTTGTAGTCTCATTTTAAAGGCCTCCCATAATCAACTTTTGAAAGTTCTGCCTAATCCCATCAAAATTGGCCTTACTCTAATTTAGAATTTTAACTTTTTGATCAGTTCTATCCCTTTCCATAACTATTTTAAAACTATTAGAATTATGACCACTTGCCCCAAGTGCTCGCTAATTGACACCTCAGTCACTAGCCCTGCCTCATTTCCCAAAACGTCAAGTATTGTTCCTTCTCTCACAGGGTACATCCACATATTGAATAGTGAAGTTTTCCTGTACACACTTAATTTCCTCCCCATCCAAGAACAATCTCCCTGGAATATCTTCCCTAAGGAAAACTGTAATGTTATCCCTAACCAAAAACACCACTCCCCCTCCTCCTCTCTTGCTTTCCTTTCTGTCCTTGCTATAGCATCTATACCCTGAAACATTAAGCTGCCAGTACTGTCCATTCCTGATGCACATTTCTGTATTACCTATGATACCCCAGTCCCATGTTCCCAACCATGCCCTAACTTCATCTGTCTTCGCTGTCAAGCCTCTTGCATTGAAGTAAATGCAGTTTAATTTATCAGTCTTACCTCATTCTCTGTCAAGCTCTGGTCTGCCTTGACTATTTGATCTGTTCCTCTTATCTACTGTACCAGCCTTAGCCTTTTCTCACTATCACTTTGGTTCTCACCTTAAACTCAGACTAGTTTAAAGGCTCCTGAGTAGCACTAGTAAATCTCCCAGTAAGGATATTGATCCCTTTCCAATTCAGGTGGAACTTGTCACTCTTATACGTGTCTTTTTACCCCTGAAGACATCCCAATTGTCCAAAATGTGAATCCTTGCCACCTCCACAAGCTCCTCAGCCAGGCATTCATCTGCTGTATCTTGCTAAACCTATTCTCATTAGCATCTGTAGTACTTTTTAACTTCCTGCCTAGTTTCCTATAATCTCTCTGCAGAACTTCATCCCTTTCCCTACCTCTGTTGTTGGTACCAACATGCAGAACAACCTCCTGCTGGTCACTCTCCCCTTCCAGAATACTCTGCATCCTCTCAGAGACATCCTTGACCCTGGCACCACAGAGGCGACACACCACCCTGATGGCTGGCTGATGGTTGCAGAAACATCTGTCTGTGCCCCAGACTAGTGAGTCTCCTATTACAATGGATCGCTTAGAATCTGACACAGCCTTCTTTACAGTAGAGCCATTCAAGGTACCAGGAACCTGGCTGTCAGCGCCAAACTCCTGAGAAGCCATCCCCTGTACAGTATCCAAAACTGCATGCACATTTGAGATGTGGATAGTCAACAGGAGACTCCTGCTGTACCTGGATACCTCTCCTACCATTCCTAGTGGTCAACAACCTACCTGGCTATCTGCAGTGTCTCCTCCTTTCTGAAACCACCATCCATCACACCCCTTTGTTCTCGTAAGCTCCTCATTGCCTCCACCTGCCACTCCAACCAATCCGTGAATAGGAAGGGTTTAGAGCCAATATGAGCCAAATGCTGGCAAATGGGTCTAGGTCAGGTTGGGATGTCTGTTCAGACGAGTTGGACCGAGCAATTTCTTTCCCTACTGTATGACTGTCCGATTATGACTGTATTTGCAGTATTGAGAGAATACTGTACCTGAATTAGGCTCAATTACAGCCATGCTCCTAGAATGGGACGTCACTGAGAGTGTTACCACAGTTTTTAAACTGCAACACGATGAGACCACCCCACCAACAGCAATAACATTTTCACAGCAGTTAGTCTGTAAGCTAACTTTTTACATCTCTTAAAAAAAAGTGGAACGATGTAATGACAATTTTCCCAGCGGGAGTACGAAAAACAAATTGATAAGGAACGTATTCACTAAAACCAGGTTTCGTATACCCCCACAATCCAATCTCCTCCTCACTCACGTTCTCCGGAGTGCACACACAATCATTGGTGAAGGGCCAGTTCTTAAAGGTGTCCAGGCGCTCCTGATAGTAGTAGTATTTTCGGTGCTGCTGCAGGTAAACCTCCATCGTGAGGGCGAGAAAAGGATACCTCGGTGACGGCTCCCGGTGGAGGGGGAAGACTCTCGGTGGCGGCTCCCGGTGGGGGATGGGGGATGGGGGAGACTCTTGGTGGCGGTTCCCGGTGACGATTTCCGACGAGGGAAGAGGGATCTATCGGTGGCGGTATCTGTTGCCGGTGAAGGAAGAGAGACTCTCGATAACGGTATCCGTTAGTGGGGAGTGGGGAGTGGTGGGGTGGGGGAAGGGGTCTCTTACTGACGGTTAGCGATCGCGCGCTGTAACCGCCAACAAATTCAAACACAGCGACCGTTACGGACCGTCTTCCCTGACGCCTATTGGTGGAAACACCCGTGACGTCAGGCGCTCGGATCACGTTGCGAAGATGCTACTTTCGGCGGGCCCAGCAACCGCATTTAGGTAGTGCCTTTCGTGTTGTAAAACACATCAGTTAGTAGTGCAGTGCCTTTGTTTTATAAAGGCAGCAAAAAACCTAACGGCTAATTTACACCGCAAACGGGAAACGAATTGTTTTGTGCAATCAATGTTGTCCAGATCATTAAGCTGTTCTTTTAAATTTGAACCGAAATAACTGCGGCTGCTATAAATCAGAAACAAGAACAGAAATTGGTGGAAAAGCTCAGGAGGTCTGGCGGCATCTGTGAAGAAAAATCAGAGTTAACGTTTCCGGACCGGTCAGAACTGAGGACCCGAAATGTTAACAGATAACAAGTTGTAGAGCTGGATGAACACAGCAGGCCAAGCAGCATCGGAGAAGCAGGAAGGCTGACTTTTCGGGCCTAGACCCTTCTTCAGAAATATTAACTTTGATTTCTCTTCACAGATGCTGCCAGACCTGCTGCCCTTTTCCAGCAACTTCTGTTTTCGTTTCTTTTAAATTTGAGTTGCCCTTGGATATTTTATGTTTACCTGGGATAAGACTTAATGCAGCATCTTAAAATGTGACATCTCCAACAATTAGGTTTGCTAATCTTATAGAGGTCCTGGAGATTATGTAGTGTAACCTGTTTCCTCCAACTATCACGCCGAGCTAACTTCTCCTCCATTGTTTAATACTTTCATAAATAACTAAAAATGCGTTCAAAATAAGCGAAAAAATTGCGAACTAAATGAATTTGCATCTTGGTTGTTTGCAACAGTGAGACCTTTCTTCTGACAGGCGATGATATTGCTGCAGATTTCCTGTAATTGATTATTGGTTGCTTGTGGTTTCACGTCAACAGCTGGTATGCACGAAAATCAAAGACCAACTATAAACAGACGAGCAAAATCAAGGACAGGTGATACACAGAGGAAATTATACAAGAAATGGCATTAAAACTTTGATTTCACCAGTAACGATATAGTAATTCACTGAAATTGTATCAATAACCAACATTAACACTGAAAATTGATGTTTTACAGAGGCACAGAAACAATGCTGCTAAGGGTTAATAGACTTGGAATGAAACTAGAGACTTCTAATTTATTCTTGTGCAGTAGGAGAGGCGTTGTGTACAGATTGAGAGGTAACTTTTGCAAGTTTGACGTTTATTTGTTTACAATTACATCGTACACGCTATAAACTATCCATTCATTCCATCAAAATATCCGACTATGAAAAAAATTTAAACTCATGAATATTTATTTGTACTTGTATTATTCTGAGTATCTGCCAGCTGGGACACTTTTAAAGTTATGTATTTCATGCAGTCAGTGCACATATTCCAGAAGTTCCTTACTTAGAGACAAGAATCAAAAAAAAATTCATATATAGAGTATAACTACAATCTCAAGTATTATGTAATATTTAACCAGTGGTTAATTATTTAGAATTAAGAAACAGAAAAATGCAAGCGTTTTGCATTATAAAGAGATAATTGCCTGGAATTAAGAATATCTACCAGTTATTTCTGTAGCAATGAGGGAACAGTTAGTGCATGCTTTTGTCATTCTGTGAAAACTGATTCATTTTCTAGTCACCATTTTCAACAGTACCTAAAAGAAGCATACATACAGTGGCATTAGACTGATATTTTAAAACTGAAATACATACAAGATTTCTCAATTACATTTTCAAAAATCAAAACTTGTCTGCTGAAAAGGTGTGTTCATCCCAGTTCTCAGAAGTAAAGGAAAAGTTGCCATAGGCCTACCAGACCATAGGGCTGTTATCCCATTACAGAAAGAGATGATTGATGGTGGTTAACCTGAGAACATCGTGCCTCAGGCAAAGGGCAGGGTTGAGAAGGTGCAATCTTCTTGATCAGGAATGTGGGAATGAAACCTATGCTGTTGACATCATTTTGAATCACAACCCAACTGTCCAACCAACTGAGTGAATCATCCCTCTTTAGAAGTAGTTGTATATTTTATATTTAGCCTATTTGCAATGAATTTCATGCCAGATGACAGCCCCCAATTGCCATGGACAATTTTTAGGGTGTTTTATTTGCCCATGACCTAATGTATTTATATGTGAATCCATGAAAGCAAACTTTAAAATTTAAAAAAACTTTACCTGTGTAAGAAAATAGTTCTCATCCACTAGTTTTTCTATGATATCAAAATGATCTGTATTTGGTACATCTTGAAAACTGACATTCAACCCAGCAGCCTTAACAGCCTGCAATGAAAATATATTTTAAAAGAACTGCACTGATAGTGTACCCACAATTTATTCTGAATAACTGAATAATTAGCAATGCTTCTGGGAATGAATTCTTTATATTCAATTGACTGAAAGACACCTTAGAATGGTGGTATAAGGGGAATTCTCCTAGCCTCACTGCTTAATGGGCATTACCTGTATTGATTAGTGTCTATCCTCCTTGCAGGAAGTGTGAGGAGAACATTGGGGGTGGATAAGATGGATAGGGAAGAAGACCAAAGATAAAGGAATTCAAGAAACTTGCTGTTTGAAAGATCCATGGGGGTAAAATTGGCTTACAGAAGACACATGAAACAGGTTGTAGCAAGTCAGCAGCTAATCTTTCACCATGCCCAGTTTCTGTTTGCCACTGACTTGGAAGATATTGTCAAGATGTTCAATTTCAAACCAAGTAAAAATGGCAGCATTTTCCATCAATGGGTGTCACCTGTGTAATTCCCCTAAATTACTAACCCTTCCTGCCTCCTACTTAATTATTCGTGCCACCTCACCCCCTTTCCTAACCAAGAATGGACCAGCCCCTTGATTGGTCATAGACCCCTTTGACTGCACTAAGGACTGCTCCCCTTCGACTTGCAAACGGGATCATTTAGTTGAAGCTTATTTCGTGTTTTTGCCACATGCCATGGATTTGAAATTAACATTGCATGGTGCTATACAGCGGCACATCCATCCCCTTGACTGTTCATGGTTAGCATTTATAACAAGCTTCCTGGTTTTCTGTCTGCTGTAAAAAGCAAGGCATGGAGGAGCTGTGAGCGTCGAAATGAGTGCAAGAGAGTGAGAGCTAACAATCTAACAGCCCCGAGATATATCCTGTTCCAATGCACGAGTTGGATGCTGTTCCTGCATTCAAAGTCGACTAGCAGTGGCATTACACTGTTGGATGTTAGTGAGCTCCAAAGTGCAGTATTGAACTGCTGAACTATATTGTAAGTTAGTCTGATATGTGCCATGATATGTTGCTACTGCCAATGTCTGTGGATGGAAGGCACAGGTGATCACTGCACATTGACAAAGCCCTGAGATTTGGGGAACACTGGCCAAAGTGGATGTCTGGGGAAGATATTGCTGAGCTGCAGCTGCCTGGTAACCATTCTGACGTTCAAGTTAGGAATCAGCATTGTCTAGCTTCTCTCCACCACCTGGGAAAATGGCAAACAACATATTTGAGGGGAAGCATTGGCCTCATGGTATTCTCACTAGGTTATTAATCTGGAGACTCAGGTAATTCTCTGGGGACAAAAACAAAGTTGCTGGAAAAGCTCACCAGGTTTGGCAGCATCCTTCAGAACAGTCCTGAGGAAGGGTCACCAGACCCGAAATGTTAACTCTGTTTTTTCCTTCACAGGTGCTGCCAGACCCGCTGAGCTTTTCCAGCAACTTTGTTTTTGTTCCTGATTTACAGCATCCGCAGTTCTTTTGGTTTTTAATTCTCTAGGGACCTGGGTTTGAATCCTGCCATTGAAGATTGTGAAATTTGATTTAATTAGAAAAAAAATCTGGAATTAGAAGTCTAATGATGACCATGAAACCATTGTCAGGAGGAAAAAAAACACATTCACTTCACTAACATCCTTTGGGGAAGGAAACTGCTACCTTTACCTAGAGATAACACAAGTATGGAGCTGGAGGAACACAGCAGGCCAGGCAGCATCAGAGGAGCAGGAAAGTTGACGTTTTGGGTCAGGACCCTTCTTCAGAAATGGGGAGGGAGAAGGGAGCTCAGAAATAAATAGAGAGAGGAGGGGTGGGTTTGGGGAAGGTAGGTGGGATGGTGATAGGTGAGTCCAGGTAGGGAGTGGTGGGGATTGGTCAGTGGGATGAGTAGGGCAGATAGGTGGGAGAGAAGATGGACAGGTTGTGTCAGGTCAAGGAGGTGGGAATGAGAGGTGGGGATTGGACATGGGATGAGGCCGGGGGTGGGGAGATTTTAAAACTGGTGAAAACCATATTTAGGCCTTTGGGCTGTAGGCCCCCAAGGCGGAATATGAGGTGTTGCTCCTCCACTTTGCGGGTGGCGTCATTGTGACAGTGGAGGAGGCCCAGGATGGACATCTCGCCCAGGGTGAGACAGCAGTCCCAATGAAAGGCAGATAGAGGTGGGGAGGGACATATCTCTTTGGTTGTGGGGTTGGATTGTAGGTGGCGGAGAATGATACATTGGATGTGGAGGTTGGTGGGGTGATATGCGAGGACAAGGGGGATTCTGACTTTGTTTTTCATGGTGGAAGGGGATGTGAGGGCAGGGGTGCAGGAAACGCAAGAGATGCGGTTGAGCAAATTTTTGATCACTGGAGGAGGGAAGTTATGGTCCTTGAAATAGGAGGACATGTGGGATGTGCGGGAGTGGAACTCCCCATCTTGGGAGCAGACGCAGCAGAAGTGGAGGAGTTGGGAGTAGGGGATCGCATTCTTGCAGGAAAGTGGGTGGGAGTCGGTGGGCTTGAAATAGATGTTGGTTTTGAGGCGGTCACCAGAGATGGAGACAGACAGATCCAGGAAGGAGAGAGAGGTATTGGAGATGGTTCAGGTGAATTTGAGGTTGGGGTGAAAGTTGTTAGTAAGGTTGATGAACTGTTCAAGCTCCTCGTGGGAGCACGAGACAGTGCCTATACAGTCATCAATGTAGCAGAGGAAGAGGTGGGGGATAGTGCCAGTGTAACAGCAGAAGAGGGACTATTCCACATATCCCACAAAGAGACAGGCATAGCTTAGGCCATGTGGGATCCCATGGCCACCCCCTTAGTCTGCAGGAAATGGGAGGAGTTAAAGGAGAAGTTGTTAAGGGTAAGGACGAGTTCGGTTAAGTGGATGAGGGTGTTGGTGGAGGGGGACTGGTTGGGCCTGCTGGAGAGGAAGATGCGGAGGGCTTTAAGGCCATCTGTGTGGGAGATACAAGTGTATAGGGATTGGATGTCCATAGTGAAGATGAGGTGTTGGGAGCCAGAGAATTGGAAGTCTTGGAGGAGGTGGAGGGCTTGAGTAGTGTTCTGGGCATGGTTGGGGAGTTCCTCAACCAGGGGGGAGAAAACAGGGTCAAGGCAAGCAGAGATAAGTTCAGTGGGGCAGGAGCAGGCAGAGACAAATGGGTCAGCAGGGGCAGTCAGGTCTGTGGATTTTGGGAAGGAGATAAAAACGGGCGGTGCGGGATTGGGGAATGATGAGGTTGGAGACTGTGGGCAGGAGGTCACCTGAGGTGATGAGGTTATGAACAGTTTGAGAGACGATGGTTTGATAGTCAGGGGTGGGGTCATAATCAAGGGGGCGGGAAGAGGCGGTGTCAGAGAGTTGGTGCCTGGCCTCGGCCATGTGAAGGTCAGTGCGCCATACCACTTCTGCGCCTCCCTTATCTGCGGGTTTGTGCTCTGTTCGCAACAAATGACAACACCTTCCGGTCGCGAACCATTTTAACTCCCCCTCCCACTCCCTGGTTGGCATGTCCATCCTGGGCCTCCTCCAGTGTCACAATGATACCACCGGCAAACCGGACAAGCAGCACCTCATATTGCGCCTCAGGAGCCTACAGCCCAATGGCCTAAACGTGGATTTCACCAGTTTTAAAATCTCCTCATCCCTGGCCTCATCCCATGTCCAACCCTCCCTCTCATCCCCGCCTCCTTGACCTGACACAACCTGTCCATCTTCTCTCCCACCTATCCGCCCCACCCATCCCACTGACCAGTCCTGACCACTGCCTACCTGCACTCACCTATCACCATCCCACCTACCTTCCCCAGCCCTAGCCCTCCTCTCTATTTATTTCTGAGCTCCCTTTCCCCTCGCCATTTCTGAAGAAGGGTCCTGACCTGAAGTGTCAACTTTCCTGCTCCTCCGATGCTGCCTGGCCTGCTGTGTTCCTCCAGCTCCACACTTATCTCTAACTCCAGCATTTGCAGTTCTTGCTATCTCTGCCACCTTTACCTCGTCTGGCCTCTAGACCCATAGCAATGTGGTTGACTGTCAACTGCCTTCTCAGCAATTAGGGATGGAGCAATGAATGCTGGCCCAGCCAGTGACACCTACATCCTGTGAATGAATAATTTTTAACAATTTATAAAGTAAGATTTTAATGCAAGCAAATGAGCTCCTCACTGCTCACTTGCAATATTCTCATCTAGCCATCAAAACCTCTGTGGAAAATCGGGTTTTTATTTTCTTATCGTTCAGAATCTCATTTCATTCATTCTCACTATTTTTCCAACTATCATGCCATTGCCTACGTTGTTCAAAGACTGGGAAATTCAGCCTATTAAATTTCTAATCTTGTCAATTCTGTCCAGGAATAATAGATTAGAAGATGGATCACGGAAAGTCAAAGATAGGACCATTCTCACCGTGAAAGGCCTAGCTGACAGTCAGTAGTTTGCATTCTGGATTGGATGTGGAGTAGAGAATTGGAAAATCTCTCAAGTAGGTACAAAATTGATGAATTATTTTAAGTGCTGATGTTTGAAGTTCCAGCTACACTCTAAGTATGAGCAAATTAATTATTACTTCTATTAAAACAATGTTAGTCACAAGTTATTTACATCTTCTAGCCTTTTTACTGCTTTGATTCTTAGTTGCTCATTTAATTACAATATTCCAATTTCCCGAACTCCCACACAAGAATACATTTTGTTTGTTGGAAATGGTTAATATGTTGTTAAATGTAAAATTTTCTGTAAAGATGAAAGCTTTGCCAAACTTGTTTACTAAATTACCAGAATAGTAGTTTCAATGTAATTTTAAAATCTAGAGAAGCATGCTGTAGCTCTGTACTACTTTAAATGATGCAATTTTCCACATTTTAGCAGAAAAATTGCTCTGTCAAAGTATTAAAGAAAAGGTAAAGCAACCAATTTATAATACCATTAGAGAACTCAATGAGTGAAGGTGGGCTGAGGTGTAGACATTGGGTCAGTAGCAGAGTATTTTCAGAATCCTATTTCATTCTGGTTGAATTATACTTGAACAAGATTGTAGATAATGGAAGTGTAAAATACCGAGGAGTTCCTGAAATGACTAGTACCTTCATGAAGTAGTATTAACTTGACAGAGGGAGCAACACTTGAAAGACACATTTCAGAGCCACCCTTACAGTGGGGCTTTAATCAGTGATATTTTCATATGCATGCAAACGGTCTAATTACCATTTAAGGCTTGAGTGCTGCATGCTGATTTTGAACATTTTTAAATATGGTGCAGGCTCATATAAATGGATTGGGAGCACACCTGAGGAGGTGTATAGAACATAGAACAGTACAGTACAGCACAGTACAGTACAGCACAGTACAGACCCTTCGGCCCACGATGTTGTGCCAAACTTTTACCCTAAACCTAAGGTCTATCAAACCTCCACCCCTACCTTATACTATCATCGATATGCCTATCTAATAGCCGCTTAAATGCCCCTAATGAGGCCGACTCCACTACACTCTCCGGCAATGCATTCCACGCCCCTATTACTCTCTGAGTAAAGAACCTACCTCTGACGTCTCCCCTATATCTACCTCCACTCACTTTAAAACTATGCCCCCTCGTAATAGCTGCCTCCACCCTAGGAAAAAGTCTCTGGCTCTCCACTCTATCTATACCTCTATCAAGTCACCTCTCATCCTTCATTGTTCCAAAGAGAAAAGCCCTAGCTCTCTCAACCTTTCCTTGTAAGACCTTCCCTCCATTCCATATGCTAAAAGTTGGGGGGGAAGGGTTGGCGGGGAAACAGGAATAACCAATAGATGGAGCCCAGAAAGACAGAAAAACAATTGGGCAGGCAAAGGAGTAAGTAAAGGTCAGCCTGGGAAAATGAACAGCTGCTAATGGTGAATGGGGTTCGCGGTAAGGTCTATCAGGAAGGTGATCTGGATCTCTGGGACCTCACTGACATTTAGCAGGGGATGTTGGAAACCACTGCCAGAAGTGAGCTCACTGTTGCCTTCCATTGTACTGGAATTGAAACTGCGCAATGGAAAAAAAAATGGTTATGACCACACTCTGGAGTGTGCAAGGTAAGTTTCTTTTCTGTGAGGGAGGGGGCTTCAAGATCCAATGATGTGAGGCTGTTTGAAGTCAACATCATCATGCGCAGACCCAAGCACTATACAGAACACAAATCTGCGGGCTTCCTAATTCTTGGCAGTCCTAATACATTTGACTCCCTGTATACAAGGCCCTGCCCCAGACATTACAGACCATTAAATTCAGCACCAACACATTTGAACATAGGCCAAGGAAAGAAGAGAGATGTTTAATGAAGAGGTACAATGGCACCAGCAGAATCCATTCCCTTTGAAGGCTTTGTTAATTTGGTTCCCCATGCTGCAGCAAACTGTCAACACAGACATCTATCCATGGTTTGTCCTGAATTAACACATGTTAAGCATCATACTGGCACAGTTATAAATGGGGCCAGGCAGAGACTCAAACAGAACTATTGTAAAACCATTAATGATCATGTTTTCATTAATGTTAATGTACAGTGCAATGTCACCCATGTGGCCAACGTGCACTCAAAAGTTATCTTTTATCTTTCCCTTGCAGTATATCTCAGTGTAGTCCCAGGTTCTCCAGCTGGGGTAGAGGGAGGCTGCTCAACACTGAAAACCATTGAACTTGGAGATTTTGTCATGTGACCCTAAGTCTGAACAGCGCTAACATGCTGAGAATCTCCTTGTCAGTGGCAAGTGGACCCTCCTCGTTTTGAACTTTTCAAGGATCAGAAAGGTGCAGGCAGGCTGGAAGTGGAGAGTCAGGCCACCTCTGGTGTGTCCTGAGGGGACATTCTGAAGTTCCTCCTCTGACTGGATGCCTTCTGGAACCATCTGACCCCATGTGAGGAAGGTGCACCTGGAGTAAACACCAGGTTCTCTGTCTCCCTGTCACCACGGGCACCAGTGGCTGGTGCAATGGAGTACAGGAGTCTGTGCACGTGTCCAGCAGACCCTAGGAGTGCTAGTCTTGACTTTCCATGGTAGTTGCCAACCTCTTCATGGATACAGCCGGACAGTCACTTGCTTGAGACAACTGGGTCTCGACTCCTGTAGATTCTGGGCTATCATGGTATTAACTCCCACAGACCTGTCTGCTGTACTTATGTTTCCTTGTGCATTCTGACAAAGTCCCTCACTGCCGACACCATAGAGTCCTCTCCTGCCTAGGTTGATAAGGCGCTTGGTCTCTGGCAGCCTGGGGCATTTCTTTCTCGGCCAGCTACAGAATTGTCACAGTGAGGTGCTCACTAGCTTGTATTCCCAATATTTCTAAATTTGACATTCTTACCGAGATATCAATATCTGAGACAGTGGACTGTGTAGGAGATACCTTGCTGATACATCTTCTAAGGCCTCAGAACTACCTCAAAGACCAAGGAGGTACCTTAAGACCATAAACATAGGAGAAAAAGTAGGCCATTCAGCCTATTGAGCCTGCTCCACCATTCAGTGAGATCAAGGCTGATCTGATAATCCAACTCCATATTTCTGCCTTGTCCTTTTAGTTCTTGATTCCTTACAGATTAAAAATCTGTATATTTCAATCCTGAAAATATACTTAACTATCCGGTCTCATCAGTCCTCTGAAGTAAGGAATTCCACAGTTTTGCTACCCTACCCTCTGAATGAAAAAAGAATCCTCATCTCCTTTTTAAATGGTTGACCCCTTATTCAGAGACCACTAAGTCCTAGACTCTTCCACAAAGGAAAACAATCTATCCAGCCTAGAGAGATGAAAAATCAATTCATTTTAACATGTTAAGTACAAATGTACTTGTACTTAAATTGCTATGATTCCTAGCTAGATCCCTGATGTGGTGGTGCGTGTGCAAGGGACCTATGAAAACACCAGGGTGATGGTGGCAATTAGAGGAATGCAAGATTTGCGACAGTTGTTGATGAAAAGTTGGAGGGACAATGCAGGCAGGTCTGGGTCTGGAAAGCTGTTTATTCCACAGATTCTGTATTAAAAAATACTTTTTCTACAGGGTTTTGCAAAACAGCATCTAGCCTCAAATATCGCCAGTGAGGCTGCACTCTCTGTTTAAGAAATGAGAAGGTTTATCAGGGCAAAGTAGCTATTGCTGCTTTTGTGCTCAGGGCACCAACGTTTTGACTGGTGACTCCACTGGTGGTCATGACCCACAATTTGGGAAGCGCTGGTTTAGGCTGGTCCTACCCATAAGCCTCTACTTAGGCTAAGCTGAATTATTCAAAATCTGCTTGAATAACATCTCCCAGGAGAGAGGAAAATAGGGCTAATAGAAGTGAAACAGATGAAATATATAAAATGAAAATGTACCTGGTAATATTCTTGGGATTGTTTCCTAAATTCATCTGAGTCATGCTGTGCCACAGCGACTATGATCTCACACTTCCCATTCAGCTGCTTCATGATATTCACAAATTGCATCGGACTATTTCGCAGAGCATCAGCCCTATCAAGTCGTAATGAAATATTCATTTCAGACTGATGTGGCAAAATAACTATTAAGCTGTCATCAAAACTAAAGTCTACTAGTAAAGGGAAAACAATTTTGTCACAATTGCAAATCACACGGAATTGATTCAAATATGTTGGCCTGATTTAACAACTAATTATTAGAAATAAAAAGCTAATAGCTGATGATCATATTAATTGTGAAATGCAAGCTAATTTCTAGCCATGTAGTAAGTTCCAGCAAGTAAGTTGCTGATACAAGACTTCTAAAGTTTCTGTTTCACATCTAAACTTGTGAAAATGTGATCACTTACTGACAGTATAACAGTAAGTAGAAATAATATAAATAGATGATGGCTCGTTTCATTGGCAAGCCAAGATCCAGTGCACTCACTTCATTTTGTAACTTATTAGAAACTAAAATAAAGCTAGAACTGAAAACAAAATGAGCAGTAAATACCAACTGAGTTGGGATGAAGAATTACCAGCTATTCACACTATTAAGTGTGAAAATACATACCACACAAAATCGTGAGGGATTGACACAAATACTAGGGTCATTGAACTTTGCACCTTTGGCTCTGGTTGCAAAAATGTAGCCATTTAAAATACAAATGTGGTCACCAGCGATGAATGCTCAGCGAACCTACTCAGTCATCTGAAGAGGATCATTGACTAAGGTATGAACAATTGGACAGAGATCATAAATCCCACTGACAAGTAAAGCACCTGTGGAGAAATAAAACATGGTTCTGTCTGGTGCCATCAGTCAATGGCCTTGTAAAATTAGAATGCTGTTGTAAATAATCCACATTAAAACTTAGTCAATATTTTTGAAACATCCATACCTTTCAACTTTTCAAAAATCTTGGTTAAACACCTAAATAATAAAAACTTGATACAATGTGTGTTGCATGTTATGTGTTGCTGTAATGCCAAAGCTCTCATGGCCTCTTGTGGTGCAGTGGGACTGATATTTTACAACACATATCGAGATCAGATGGTCGGGGTTTAAATCCCACTTGTCCTAGACTTGTGTCTTAATGTGTCTGAACAAGTTGATATCTACAAAAGCTCACATATCACTGCATGTTTTCTGATTACTCATGTAACCACACAAATTTTTCTCATTAGATTACTGGAAGTTTTCACCATTATTAAAACACCTGCACATTTCAACCACCTGTTCAGCTTCTGCTCATGATGAATAAAAATTTGGAATATCAATCTGAATTGTCAAAACTTTTGAGTATTCTTCATGGAGCCGATCTGAAATGCATTATGCTAATCTTGTTATTTTAATTTAGTACTCATTATTGGGATAGAATAAAAGAAAGTTTACTGCACATCTGCCTATTTACTTGACCTGAGAGTGCTCAATGCTCACACTAGATACCCAAAATAGAAATGTATTCCATTCCCAACATGAACATGCCTCAGTTCGATGCACACAACAGTTCATTAAAAAATCCGAAATGAGTTTTATTCAGGGATGTGAGGAGGAACACCAGTGTAGTTTTATGTTCCCACGCAGAGTAACAAAATTTAAGTTCACTACCCTAGGAATGACTTTGGTTACTGTAACAGAAATGATTGAAAGCAAAGCTAAGTGCACTAATTTGAAGTAACTCAATATCTTCCTATTATTACCTTTAATATCAGGAGAGACACCATACTCTTTCCAATCCGTACAAAGTACCATGGCTCCGAGATGAGCACCAGCAGAATGTCCACAGAGGTAAACACCACTGCAAAACAAGCAAAAGAAGAGGAGTATAAACATTTGGTGAATTGTGTCAGAACAGTAATCAGCTCTATATTTCCCGCTCTGTGCACTTTTGGCAGGGAACAGTTTATTCAGAAGACAATTTAAACTGCATTTTTTTCTGCTGGACGTCAACCTCTTAACAATTCAAAGTTGTGCAAGCATGTTTTGTCCTGGTGGATTCTGACATCAACATTGAATTCTACTCAAGTGTATCCTTTTTTTATGGGAGAGTTTTTAAACAGTGACTGGATGTTAGTGGGTAGTGGAGCGTGGGATTTGCTCCCTCTTGCTATATAATCTTGATAGAAAATAAATCTCTGGAATTGATCAATTTGAGTACAGCTTTACTTGCAGCTGCTCTTGCCTTCAGGGATCCATCACTGCCTGGCTCACAGTGGAAAATTCCCTGATGAAGGAGCTGACATTTTCTTGAACTCACAGGTCAAAAAGTGAGTGATTAAGAAATGACAAAATTAATTCATCATTTTTAATATTGCTATTTTAAAGGACTTTTAAATCATATTTCCTTAATTATGTATGTATGCTACTTACAGTTAGCCTGCACTGCTTAAGGCTAGCCTGCACTGCTTCCACTTAGTTTGCACTGTTTAAAGCTAGTGTGCATTGTCTTACATATAGCCTGCATTGCTTCTAAACAGTTTGCGCTACTTAAAAATAGCTTGCATCCCTCAAAGGAGTGGTAGTCTATGGCAAGACCAGGCACTGGAAGTCATGGGGGAAATGCAAATTGTCCTGGGAAGAAGGAAGATTCCATATTGGATATTGTGAGGGCAGTCTCTTTTAGATGCTGTCTAGAGGTACAGGTGGTGGAGATGAAAAGAAGTAGAGATGTTGCACATCCATGGAGGGGGGGCAGGAGGTTCCCCAGAAACAGAATCAAAATGCAAAGGGAAATTGTCAGGCATGAAGTCAGGTTCAGATCATGAGGACCTGAATGCAGTTCTAAGTTCTTTGACCTCATACAAGTGGTTAAGGTCGGTCACTTTAAATACCAATCCTTTCAGCTGGGAAGGTGATGGCCTATTGTTATTACTGTTGGACTATTATTTTAGAGACCCAAGTAATGTCTGGGGACCCAGGTTCAAGTCCTGTCATGGATTTGAATTCAGCAAAGGTCTGGAATTAAGAGTCTGATGATGACCATAAAACTGTTGTTGATTGTCGGGAAAAACCCAGGAAATTGCCATCTGGCCTACGTGTGACTCCATATCTTCAACAACTCTTAACAGTCCTCTGGGAAATTAGGGAAGGACAATAAATGCTGGCCTAGCCAGTGGTGCCCACATCCCACAAAAGAGTTAAAAAAAAACTGCAGACACTGTTCAAGTTACCAACAATCTCTATCAATAAGAACTCTTTTCTAATATTCATATTAGACATGTTTGGTGTCAGCCACACCATCCAAACAGATTGTTCAGTAGACTTTCCTCTCACTTGGAGGGTCAGGTAGCACATGAACTGGAACCAGCAGAAGCTAGGCAGAGGAGGACGGCGTGACTGCACATCCTTACCACGATGGAGGAAACAATGCTAGTCATTATTGGAACGGCCCTTGTCAAGGTCGTGGCCAGTGACGGGATTGAAACCAATGAAGCTGACAGTATCCTCATAAATAATCCTCCTTGCATCTCACTTCCTCCTCATTCCATAATTTCTGACTTCCTGGACTCGCATAGAGTCATAAAGTCACACAGCACAGAAACAGACCTTTCGGCCCGCTCGTCCATGCTAACCAGGTTTCCTAAACTGAACCAGTCCCATTTGCCTGCATTTGGCCCATATCCTTCTAAACCTTTCCTATCCATGTACCTGTCCAAATGGCTTTTAAATGTTGTAACTATACCCACCTCTACCACTTCCTTTGGCAGTTCATTCCATATATACACCATCCTCCATGTGAAAATGTTGCCCCTCAGGTCCTTTTAAATCTTTCCCCTCTCATCTTAAACTTGTGCCCACTAATTTTGGACTCCCTTACCTTAGAGAAAAGACTTTGTCTCGTCATCTTGTCTATGCTCCTCATGATTTCATAAACCTCTATAAAGGTCATCTCTCAGCCTCCTATGCTCCAAAGAAGAAAGTCCAGCATCTCTTTATAACTCAAAACTTCCCAACTTGGTAACATCCTTGTAAATCTTTTTTGTATCCTTTCCAGTTTAATAACATCCTTCCTACAGCAGGGCGACCAGAATGTTCCATCTCTTGCTTGCCACTTTTCCCCTCTCCACATTAGCCTGACTTCTTCACTTTTCATTTACCCAAGTTACCTGCCACTAAGGGCAGGTAGCAAGGATATGCAGGTGCCAGCTCGGAGGGTAAGACTGTGAATGAGTTCAACTGCAGAAGTCGAATAATGTTCAGCCAGGCTACTGAAGAACACACTGATGGGTATGCTGAACAAAAGGCTGGCTGAATTCAGAAGCCTGCCAAAAAGTCAGTTTCCAGTCTCTAGGAACACAAAGATATCTAGCACCAACTTGGTAAAAGTTTTTGTGCAGAACTTTGATTCTAAACTTTCTATCATGACAGGAAGCAAATGTCAATTCCATTTGCTCGCTGGTAAATTCAGCAGTGATGTAATACCTGTAACGCTGATGCCACAACATTCATTGCAGCACAAGCAGCAGCCATTCAGAGTGCTGAATTGTCGTGCAAGATCAATTTGTTGCTACACAAGTCAGTTTGTTGCCATGTAAGCACAGGCAACTGCCCTCGAGTCTGTGTTTTGCAGTTTTCAGGACTGCTTGCGAATGTCACAGCAGCTAATCCAGCAATGTGTCCTCCAACAAATTACTAGGATAATTGAGGCACTTTGCTATCTCGCAACAGTTACTCCATGGAACAGAATCCTTTCTGTTTTACAGCCTTGAGATTCTTAAGTATGACGTGAGATCTTACCTCAAAGAAGAATACTGCTGCACAATGAAAGCTACGCTACATCGGACCTGAGATACAATTAAGTCCATATTACCTGAAAATCCAATGATAAAATGTCTTAAAATTTAATTTTAAATTACAATTCCATGCAGAAATAGCAGAGTTGAAGTTAGTGTTAGATCATTTTATTATACAAAGCAAAAATGTAACATTCATGAATTTGTTTAGGTAAAATACTGCATGAGAATCACTTGCTCTGTCTTTTTGAAGCAGTTTATATCTTCAAGGAATAGAGTGTCAACACTGCCATTTACACATCTATGTTAAAGTATTGCTCCAAGTTTCCACTGTGGCTTAGATTTCAATCAATAATTCAAATTTAAACCTCAGTTTTTCTGACTAACTGTTAGTCTCTTCCAGTACCAAAACTAGGCAGTACATCTTTTAAAATGGTTCTGTTACCAAACTATACTGTAAGCTTTAGTGTTGCACAATATTGATTCCTTCAATTCCTCATTTTCACACTTGTTGCCTCTGAATAACGTTATTCATAAACATGAGGCCAATTTACAACTTCAAGCTGATAACATCGAACTTTACCTCTTCACCACCACCCTTGACTGTCCTCCTTATCTTATCCAACCAGCAGTCCATCAAGATGTGCAAGAGTTTGCTACAGCTTAACACTTGTAAGATTGGAGGCAGTCTACTCATTTATTAACTGAAATTCCCAAGTTCAATTCCATTCACCCTCCAGGCTGCTTGGTCAGCCTTGGCTTTTGACAGTGTACATTCATGGCATCCTTTGCTGCTTTCTCATTCGGAATCTGAAAACACATAATTCTTGTGTACTGTGAGACCTTATGCTAAGCTCAAACATTGCATATTATTCAACCAACTTAATAATGCTGTTCTCACAATTTCTACCTCATACACACCATCATCAAATTTCTCATCAATGCTTTTATTACTTATGACTCAATTATTTCTAACAATTTCTTTACCAGATTTAAATAGTTTTCAACATCTTTTGTAGAAGAGTTCTTTCACCCTTGCTTTGAACCATCTTTCCTGACCATTTTCCTGCAACAGTTTGGTTTCCGTTTCTTCACCACTCCTATATGAAACACTGCGGGATGTTTTGCTACATTAATGGTGTTCTACATATGCAAGTTATTGTTGTCTATCCTCCAGCCCTATAACACTGAGATTTCAGTAGTTCTCCAAATCTAGACTTTGACACATTTCTTTGCATGAGTATTGGCAATATTGTCTTTACTGCCTAGATTCTAACTCTGGAGTTCACATCTAAAACCTCTCTGTCTTGTACCTCTAACTGTCCCTTCAAGACAGTCATTAAAACCTGTCTCTTGAACCAAGCTTTTGATCATCTGTCCTAACGTCACTTTAAAGAGCTCAGTGTCAAATTGTGTTTGACAATGCTTCTGCTATGTACCTTTGATGTTTTATTACATTTAAGGTGTGATATAAATGCAAATTGTTGTTGTCCACGACATAATCAGATTAGTCTTTATGTTCCTAACCCAGCTCCTGGAACTTATTTTTACCCAGAGTTGACCTTCACTTCCATAACAGATGAAGAAAATTATAGCACATAGAACAGTACTTATAAAGTAGTCTTAATTCTGTTGTAATTACAGTAAAGTTTGATGGAAATAACGTATAATAAGGAATGAGAATAGCAACAAGTTCCTCATTTTGTAATAAACTCACTGCTGACAATGGAGCGGCTTAAAATACTATGATATTAGATATTTGTCATGAAATAAATCCTAAGAAATTAAAAGTTTTGAACCCCAATATGATCTGGAATTTCTATTGTTGGTAACAGGCTCTGCTGTACCTACCTTTTGGGGCCAAAGTGTAATCAACAGCAACAACAATTACTCCAGCTTTGGCCAATGGAGGCACCATGAAACCAGACAAGTCTTTGCTGCAAACCATAATAAATCAATATTTTAGCAGAATCACGCTTTGATATGTCCAGTGTTAACAAACTGTGGAATTAAGATGTTCAAATCATATTATTTAACATCATTGGATTCTTGGTGCCCAGCCCATGGACCCCCAGCAACTGTTTTCAATTACAATATACTTTTCATTCAACTTCTGATTTCTACCCACATGTTTTATCCTTGACAATATATTTTTTGACTTATTGATAATGCCAAGACTTACCTCAGAAACTGCCAGTAACCTCCATGAAAATAGATGAGCAGGTCTGGTGCTGTAATTTTACTAAAACAAGGTTAGTGTTGGTCTACCTTCACTGCATTCATCTGTAGTCATGTTACAAATGATTCAATGAAAGCAACTTGCAAAATCACCATGTTATATATACAAAGACAGAGTAGCAGATGGTACATGCTTATTTTACAGATACAATTATCTTCTAAAAGTTAACTCAATGTTACTTTTTATTGTTTCATTATCTGTATTTTAAGGCCTTTTTTACTTTGTCTGTTGTCCAATTTCGTAGTATCGTGCAACATTTCCAGAGTAGAGGATGAACCACTCATCTAACCAAGGTATTTACAACTGGTCACAAAGGACAAGTCATAGAATCATAGAACCTCTACAGTGTGGAAGCAGGCCATTCAGCCCATTGAGTCCACATCAACTCTCCGGACTGCATTCCACTCAGACCCACCCCACTAAGCTATGCCTGTAACTCTATATTTCCCATGAATAATTGACCTAGCCTGCATATCCATGGACACTATGGGCAATTTAGCATGGCCAAGCCACCTAACCTGCACATATTTGGATTTCCAGCTAATAACCCATTAATATTGGTTTGAGATCGAGAATCTGATTTCATATCTAGAGGTGATGCAATGTTCTAATCAATTCACCAACAATTGGCTGTCTGAGAAGCTTAACAGATACTCTAACCCAGTTGGTTTCCTATAGGCAGGAATACTGCTTTCCAACCAAATAACAGTGAACATTGCCTTTCTGGACAAATCTTCTGAAAGCTTTATTGAGGAGACAATTTACATGGAAAATATTACCTCTCCCCAAGTTTTCAATAGACCACTATTTATTATTCAGCAAAATAAGACAATTACAATGTCAATTTCATATTCAGTACGCTATAGGATAATGTTTAAAGCCATTCAGGAACACAAAGAAACACTTTGGGAAGTGAGTGATTGTAAAAAGGACTTTCAGATCCTGTAACCTGATTCACTGATGAAATAATTCAGATTTTTGCAAGATTTTCCTTTACATCACGTGATTGATGTTGGATCGGTTTCAGATGTGAGTTCTTTGGGTCTTGATACAAGTTCAGATCAGACTTCTAGGTTACTGTTACCTCTAACTTATTGTTACACTGTACATGATGGTAAGACTACAGAGCAGCATGCTGCATGCTGTACAGGATCCAACTTCTTCACAGAATACTAACACACGACCATTGAGGTCACAGTTTATCTCAGAAGCTCATCTACATATTCATTAAAACCTATTTTACAGATGATGCTGCTTTTGTCTTTAGCACTTTGCCAACTGTTGCATTTGGGTTTACTTATAATCTCCATGACAACTCATTAATATTTTTGGACTTCGATCATTTCGTGGAAAGAAACTTTGGCCCACGAATGAATATACCTGCACCAGATGAGGCTGCACAATTTTTCCATGATACAGTCTTATTAGAATCATCAGGTTTGACTTTGTGCTATTGACAAGAAATCATTGTGTGGAGTCACAAGGGTACCGTTGACAAGTTGTCTTATTTAATTGCTTCACCACATTATATGGCACACAGCAGAGGATAATTTATTCAGAACCAAAATCAATACATTGGGAAATTAAATCAACAGAATTTGTAGATAAAATGTGACTGTAACTTGTGGTGATGTTATTGATAAATCATAAATCAATTAACTTGGGTTGTCATGGCCATGAGTAAGGCTTTCTGATTTTTGAACTGTAAGGTGGTAGGAATTTCTAAATCTCTAGGAATATTGAATTGCAAAACTTCATTACAGCACGAAAATCTGTTACTAATGCAAGTGCATGGAAATGAATTACATCAGCAGCGAATGCATTTTATTAACAAAGTTTACCTAGCCAAAGAAGCTTTCAACTTTTATGCAAATCAGATCATTTAGTCCCAGGTTAGATAGTAGATGTCCAGTTGCTACTTTCACAGCAAGTATTCTATTTATTAGATGCTTGTTTACTATCATATGAATTGCATCTCAACAGCAGAAAAGTTAATGATATTCAATCCATATTGGGAGCCATACAGATCAAGAAGGTCCAAAGTCTGATTCAACAACAGTAGTGGATACTATCTCTGCTAGGGGGTGGTAATGGTGGCGTGTTTATTGAAAGAAAGTGGCAAACATCTTTTTTTTTAAAAAAGGGTCAGGTCCACCCCCAGGCTGTAGTACCTAACCTGCACATTAAAGTTGAATTGAATTAGATTTCTTTGCCAATGTCCCATGCAGTCCAATAATCTGGTGTTATTCGTCATCAAAATTTACACATGAATAATAGATATTCAGGGTAAAGCACTAGAGTACACCAGGAAAATAGATTTAATCAAGGAATGATGACTACAGAAGAAATGAATCCAAAAATTGTCAGGAATAAAATGGTTTCTCCAAATGCAATTCCTATTATAGCACATCAGAAAAAAAAAACTGTCCAATTAGCCCCAACAATGTAAATATTTACAGCAAAAAAAGCATTTATCCAAACTGACTCCCCAGTGAAGTAAAATGATTAATGTTGGATTATATTCTTCCACAAACCTGGTGATGGATTTCGCGGGAGATAAATGTCTAAGATTTCACCATCCCCTTGTCCGTAGGCAACATCTAACCAAGTCTGAGCCACATTGCGACCTTGTTCAGTCCCTGAAGGTTGCCAAAAACACTGTTTACTTTGAGGCAAATACATAAGTTAACACTTTAGAAATATGGTAGTGACACAGTCTATTGGAAAGGCAACATTAGCACCATTGAGATCTGAATACAGATGTTGAGCTCCTTTTTGGCTATCTGGAGCACAATCTAACACTTTGTGCAATAGTGAGGAAGTGCTACACTGTCAGAAGTACCATCCTTCAGAGCAGCACTGGCAAATTCCTCAGAGCAGGTCACCAGTGAGATCATTTATTTCTTGTACCTAATAAAAATATTTGGGTTTGTTATTCTATTTTGTAATTTTCTTGTTCTTCACGTTTTTGTTACTTTCTTTTATGTTTCACTAACAAGAGCTTATATAAGTAATCCGTTAACTCCCATTTAATTATCTTCTGTGCATGTTTTAATGTGTAATAAAGTACCGGTTTTCTCCAATATATAATGATTCTGGAAAGGAAATAATCAAAAAAAATTGAGCATTATTATCTCCATTTATATTTCTAATTGTAGTTTTTTTGGATCCAATACCAATTCCACAATGATAATGATCTGAGTATTCCCTTTAGCTCATTCAACCTTCTCCATCTGTTAGTCACAACAAAATTAACTGAAAATGAATGATCCCTTCCCTCTTGGATATATTTCCCAATTCCAATGTTATGCATGTTTTAAAAAGAGCCAATTTAACCACTCTTTCTTAAGCTAGAGAAAGAGGAAATTTATTAGTTAATGAACAAGAAGAAAATGAAACTCAACAAAAATATGTACTGATTAGAAATGCTAAGTCAGTAAAAAGATAAAAGTAAAACATAGAGAAAACTATCCTTTTCACCTTAAAGGCAGGGGTATCTAGTAAATACTCTTCAGCTGTAACACAACATCAACTTTAAAGATAGAATAAAATCTGTCTGCATAAAGTTAGACTGGTCATGGATAGACTGGATGTTGTGGTCTAGGTGTTGGGACTAGCATGTTTGTTCTCTCATAGTTTGTAATTATACTTAAATTCATACATACTGGTAAAGTAATAATAGCTGTCCAGCTGTTTCAATGATGTAAGAAGTTTTAGGTATCCATCCTGAGGAACTACATAAACATTTAAAATGGCTAAAATCAATGTTTGGAATGTCAAACCCAGTGTAAACAGTTAGATTATCATTTGTGGACTGCACCACTCTGTGCCAATTCTCTGAGTAAACCTCATGTGGTATATAATGTATACATAGTACAAAAAGGGATGATATTTACAATTGTACTCGTTTCAATTTTGGCAGGTTTTCCATTCCTTTTGTGATGCATTACTTGGTGATAAAGGCTTCAGTTTTTCTGATAGCATCCATATGATTTGTTAACACATTTACTGACTGACGGGCATCTGTAAGCTATATGGTTACACATATTTTTTGGATTTCATGCACATACTTGTGTGCCATGGATGGAAGTTTGGAAACATGCTTGACATTGTTCCTTGGTTAGCTCTTCTTCACATGCTGCATTTGTCACACTTTGGGTTTCCCTGACGCTTGAGCTTCTTGTATAGTTTAGCCTGATGCCCTCTTGCAGAACGCAGCTTGCATAAAATGCATAATGCTGGACACTGTTTTGATAGATGAGATAGCCATAGCTTGTACAAGATTGGAATGTTTTGCAGACCCTATTGATGGCTGAAGTCAAGAACCTGTGGATGCTACTGGCCTGCTACAATTTCTTCAAACTGTGTCCATCTACCAATGATGCTTCAGACAATATTTTCTTTGGGTTTGTTGAGAGGTGCTTTTCTGTAGGATTTAATGGTTATAGAGGTGAAGACAAATTCCATAAACCTTTCAGTTAAGTTAGCTTCGGTGAAATCACATACTGTACTTTTACAAGAACATCTACCAAGGAATTGGCCAAATTTTTCACCAGGATATTGTTGGTATGATAAGAACTCAAGCCTGTGAATCCTGAATTTGACTTAAACTTTAAACGGATTTTCTAAAAACCAAAAAACGTTGTCTAGATCTTCGTGGTCAGCAGATTTTATTTTTCTTGTTCCTTCATTTCCCAAAGCAAGCAGCATTCAACTTCATGTCTTTCGTTATCAACTAAGTAATGATTTTTCTTTCTTTAAATAACTGATGATTTAATTGGAGTGCCAATCCATGTTCAGATGTTTTCTTTCCATCTATAACAGTGCAGCTTTATGCTTTGTAACAGTGCCAGTAAACAAAGGATCTGTAATACTTTTATTTTTGTCGTTATTGATTACTACCTTTTGTCTCTTTCTTAATGTTGCTGCTTTAAAGTTTCTATTTTTGCAAAATAACTGAACAATGCTTGTTTATAACAAACATGCGCAAAACTGATATTGGTGTGACATCACGTGCACCATTTTTCCTGCTTTTGCACCATTTCCGAAAAACAAAATTGCGGAATCAACTGACATCTGGACACAGGTAAGGCCTTAATAATATTAAGAACAGTTTTTTTTCCAGCATTTTGGTGGTACTTTATCCTAGGATCATTCTGCCTAACTGGAGCTAACCTGGATTTCTTACAAAGCTTTATTTTTCATTTAAATCAGACATACCGAGGCTTCCCTTTTTTTTAGAAAAAAAGGTAAGTGTAGTGAGAACTGTTCCTCTTCCATTGAGGTCACTGTGCTTCAATACAGGGTGTAACACTTTGGTCTGGACTGTTTGTTGTTAATTTCAAATCAGAACTCAGGTGGATGATAAATCAGAGTTAGGACTCTTCATAATTACCACAGCTGCTTTCACTTTTTCAACCTTTAGTACCAAATTGCTGCCAGTAGCTTTCAGTGTCCATTTAATTCCACCACGATGTGGTTTCTAGGATCAAACACCATGGCCAGTATGGTGTAGTCTGTGTTCCCTATATGCTAGCTCATGTAATAAATACCATGGACTAGGTGCTCGCAGATGCCTGAAATCTAACAGTGCTATTTACACTGTTATAAGATCTGAAACTTACATATAATCTGGTTGCTATGCTTACTAATGTTGTGGCTATATTGCATGACTGTAACACTATACATGGGTGACTGCAATAACTACATTCTGCTGCTGTGACTGCTATTGAAAGAGAGTCGGGAACATTTACACTGGAATGTCACATGTCATGATGTTGATCATTATGTCATCTGACTTCAAGGTACACTGCCTTTCTGTAATCTATGCAATAATTCAACTATATTTTTCATATTTCTTTTAATTACTTGCTTAGAAATATTGTTTGTCACTACAGCTAAACCTGACATTATCATTAACCTCAAACTACTCTCTTGTTGATATTAATTAATTTTGCTCATCCAGGGATTGAATCTGAGTGATTCCTCATTAAGGATGCTAAACCTTCTGGATTGTCTTGGTGTTATCAGGAATTTTGTTTTTAAATCTCCTGAATATATCTCTTGAAAGCAACCTAAATTTATTGTTCAAATTCAGACATGATTCATTTTAATATTGTACGAGGGCTAAAATTGACTTGTGAGCTCCTATTGAAGACTGTATCTGATTTACAGAGAACCAGGAACAAAACTTCTTTGTACAAATACATTAGAAACAATTAACAGATATTAGAGACAGACATACCAGAGTGAATTAAGGTTTGTTTTTAATTTCTTTATTTTTTTAAATTTATTCCTATGATTTCGTACTTTTGTACCTAATGCTGGACATTTTATTTCTTGATTTTTAAAAAAAATTTTTCAAGAATTTGTACTTACGAGTTTGTACCTAGATACTTGTTCATACTTAAGATGACACCGTAAGTGGCAACTTGTAAATGTTTCACTGTACTCATGTGAATACATGTGACAATAAAGCCAATTCTAATTCTAATTTTTTTTCTCATAATGAAGTTACAAAGATAGTTCAGTGTCAAGGGAGGCGCAGTTGTGATATGGCGCACTGACCTCTACATCGCCGTGGCCAGGCGCCAGCTCTCTGACACCTCCTCCTACTGCCCCCTTGATCTTGATCCCACCCCCAACCACCAAAACATCATCCAGACCATCCACAACCTCATCACCTTAGGTGATCTCCCACCCACAGCCTCCAACCTCATCTTTCCCCGCACCACCCGTTTTTGTCTCCTTCCCAAAATCCATAAACCCGACTGCCCTGGTTGACCCATTGTCTCCACCTGCTCCTGCTCCACCGAACTTATCTCCACTTATCTCGATTCCATTTTCTCCCCCCCAGTCCAGGAACTCCCCATCTACGTCCATGACACCACCCACGCCCTCCACCTCCACCAACTTCTTCAATTCCCTGGTCCTCAACACCTCATCTTCACCATCGACGTCCAGTTCCTGTATACTTGCATTCCCCATGCAGATGGCCTAAAAACCCTCCGCTTCTTCCTCTCCCGCAGGCCCGACCAATCCCCCTCCACCAACACCCTTATCCGCTTAGCCGAACTCGCCCTTACCCTTAACAACTTCTCTGTCAACTCCTCCCACTTCCTACAGACAAAGGGGGTGGCCACGGGGACCCGCATGGGCCCAAGCTATGCCTGCCTCTTTGTAGGATACATGGAACAGTCCCTCTTCCACAGCTACACTGGCCCTATCCCCCACCTCTTCCTCCATTATATCAATGACTGTATGGGCGCCGCCTCGTGCTCCCACTTATTGCTCAAACAGTTCATCCACTTCACTAACACTTTCCACCCCAACCTTAAGTTCACCTGGACCATCTCCGATACCTCTCTCTCCTTCCTGGACCTCTGTGTCTCCATCTCTGGCAACCACCTGGAAACCGATATCCATTTCAAGCCTACCGACTCCTAGCTACCTAGACTATACCTCCTCTCACCCACCTTCCTGCAAGAATGCAATCCCTATTCCCAATTCCTTCACCTCCGCCGCATCTGCTCCCGAGAGGAGGCATTCCACTCCCGGACTTCCCAGATGTCCTCGTTTTTCAAGGACCGCAATTTCCCCTCCACAGTGGTCGAAAACGCCCTTGACCACATCTCTCGCGTTTCCCGCAACTCATCCCTCACATCCCCTCCCCGCAATAACAACAAAGACGGAATCCCCCTCGTCCTCACGTATCACCCCACCAACCTCCGGATTCAACGCATCATCCTCCGCCACTTCCACCATCTGCAATCTGACCCCACTGCCAAGGACATTTTTACCTCCCCGCCCTTATCTGCCTTCCGGAGGGACCGCTCTCTCCTTGACTCCCTCGTCTGCTCCACACTCCCCACTAGCCCCACCACCCCTGGCACTTTTCCCTGCAACCGCAGGAAGTGCTACACCTTCCCTTACACCTCACCCCCATCCCAGGCCCCAAGGAAACCTTCCACATTAAACAGATGTTCCCCTGCACATCTGCTAATGAGATATATTGTATCCGCTGTTCCCGAATGTGGCGTCCTCTACATCGGGGAAACCAAGCAGAGGCTTGGAGACCACTTTGTGGAACACCTACGCTTGGTTCGTGATAAACGACTGCACCTCCCAGTCGCAAACCACTTCAACTCCCCCCTCCCATTCCTTGGACGACATGTCCATCCTAGTCCTCCTCCAGTGCCACAACAATGCCACCCGAAGGCTGCAGGAACAGCACCTCATATTTCACTTGGGAACCCTGCAGCCCAATGGTCTCAATGTGGACTTCACAAGCTTCGAAATCTCCCCACCCCCGACCTCATCCCAAGACCAGCCCAGTTCATCCCCGCCTCCTTGGTCTGTCCGTCTTTTCTCCCACCTATCCGCTCCTCCCACCTCAATGACCAACCCCCCCCCCCCCATGTCCTACTTACTAGCCTCATCCCCGCCTCCTTGACCTGTCCATCTTCCCTCAACTGACCAACCCCCTTCCCAATTCCCTACCTACACTCACCTTTACCAGCTCCACCCCCGCCTGTTTGACCTGTCCATCTTCTCTCCACCTATCTGCTCCTTTATCCACCTTCCATCATCGCCTCCCCCTCTCTCCATTTATTTCAGAATCCCCTTCCCCTCCCCCATTTCTGAAGAAGGGTCCAGACCCAATACGTCAGCTTTCCTGCTCCTCTGATGCTGCCTGGCCTGCTGTGTTCATCCAGTTCTACACCTTGTTATCTCAGACTCCAGCATCGGCAGTTCCTACTATCTCTGCAAAGATAGTTCTTATGGTTTTGATACTGAACTAGCAATTTAAAGCATGAGGTTCTCTTCAATGCTAATTTGACCTAGCTGCAGGGGTTCACTGGTGGGACTCATTAGTGGCAGACACTCCAAGGTCAATTCAACTGCTCTGAAACTACTAATGTGATAATGGGACTTGAGAGAGAAAGAATGTAATGCCTTTGTAATCTGGACTGGATCGTTGTTTTTTTACATCTGCAGATTCCGTTACTTTCTTTGTAGCTGAACAAAAGTAACGCTGAGAGTTGTCATTCAATTTTGTTTGTAAACTGATTATTTTCTCCCACAGCAGGTAAAAGATTCAGAACATTGCTGGGATAAAAGCCACTTGGTAAAATCAGTTATATTTGTGCTTGTCTGGTGCTAACTTAAATAAAGAACACATGTACGCTAATCCACACGAAGCAAAATTTTACATTGAAGGTAGATTGGCACAGTTATCTGCCCTGCTGACAGTGCACAATGTTTTCCTCTCTCACAGCATTTCTGCTGATTCTTAAAAAGCCTCACTTCAGGCACTAGAAGAAATCAAAGTAAAATATCAACTCCAGAATGTTGGATGTGCCCTGAAAGATCAATGCAAAGCAACTTCTAATTCTAGTTGATGGTATTACCAGACATTAGAGATCCCAGATAGGAACCTGATTTGAAAGATCATAATTGTATTTGCTTTGTTTTAGCAAAATGATCTGTTGATACACCATTAGCACATGATGCTGCAAATTTGGCTTTAACTATAGATTGAAAATTTATTACAAAAAAAAATAAAATATCTAAAATAAAATATCTAAACTATCTATTTATAATGCTAATTCAAAGAGTTTAAACCCACGATACAGGTATTATCCCATTAATCCCAAAGCTTTTCTTTATAAATTGAAAATAAACAAATAGCTTTTGTGCTGTACCCTAAACACCCTGATAGAGTTCTCAAATCACTACTGTTGGTACAGCACCCAAACCACCACACCTGAACCTCAGTAGGTTTAAGTCACTTGGATTTCAATTTTTGAATGGAACTATGGTTACTTGTTCCTGGTATCTACTTCATGCATCATATACTTAAGTTTCACTGCACTCAGCCTAAGTAACCAATTTCCTGGTCTGAAATCAACACAAACTGCTCCCTTGAAGGACCTAATTCATTCTAAGCTTCTCAGGAACACTGCTGTATACAGTCTTCCTGTTCAAAGGTCTTCAAGATTTAAAAAAAGTCCAAAGTTAAAAAATGAAATTAAAAGTCTCCCTGTCTCTGCTAAAGGCCCTAAGCTTAAAGAAAATGCATTCCAGTACTCTCTAATAAACCATTAAGGCTCCATTATTTATAATAATGTGTCCAAAATAAACAAAACTCCATTACTGTACAAAATGCATCAACATTACAGCCAGGCTTCAAAAATTATTTTATAAAGAAATTACTATGGTTACTTATAGAGTCATAGACCTGTACAGCATAGAAACAGACCATTCAGTCCAACTCATCCATGCCAACCAGATATCCTAAATTAATCTAGTCCCATTTGTCAGCGTTTGGTTTGTATCCCTCTAAACCCTTCCTATTCATATACCCATCCAGATGCCTTTTAAATATTGTAATTGTACTAGCCTCCACCACTTCCTCTGGCATCTCATTCCATACATGCACCACCCTCTGCATGAAAAAGTTGCCCTTTAGGTCTCTTTTAGATCTTTCCCCTCTCACCTTAAACCTAAGCCCTCTAGTCTTGGACTCCCCCACCCTGGGGGAAAAGACCTTGGCTATTCACCCTATCCATGCCCCTTGTGATTTTATAAATCTCAATAAAGTCAGCCTCCGATGCTCCAGGGAAAATAGCCCCAGACTGTCCAGCCTCTCCCTATAGCTCAAACCCTCCGGCCCTGGCAACATCCTTGTAAATTTTTTCTGAACCTTTTCAAGTTTCACAACATCCTTCCTATAGCAAGGAGACTAGAATTACAAGTTCATTACTGATTACTACTCATTCAGGCAAGCCACCCAATGCATATCATTGAAATCACTTATCACCAAGTTCTCTTTCAAGGTAAAAATGGCGCAGGATCCCTAACTTGGTTCAGAGAGGGAAGCCTGCCATATAGTTGACTCTTAAAATGACTAAGGATTGGACAATAAATGCAGGTTTGCCAGCAACACCCTCATATCCTGAGAACAATTTAACAACATTTTCAAAACTCATTTGTGGAAACAGCAGGTAACAGCCATCAGATGAGCAACTGTTTGCAAACTGCAATATGAATCCAGCATTGTTGCCAACACCAACCTTTAGTAAGTTCTTTGATATGAGCTTGTATTACAGTATCCTTGTCCATTCGATGTGACCAGCAGCTCGGAGAATACTGCTTATTAAGTTCCTATAGTAAATAAAAATGTTAATCCCACATTAAACACTCCCAATTTAACAAAAGCAATCTGATTTTGATTCTCAGACCTATGTACCAAGAACATTTAGATTTTTATAAATTGCAGAAGATCAATTTATATTCAGAGTTCTTTTCACCAATATGAAAAAGCATCTTTTAATCGTAGCTTAGTTATAGAAGATAATTTTTATTTAGAAAATAAAATTAAGCTTTGGTGAAAAATTGCCTAAAACACTTTGTCAAAGCCTTCATCTTGGACTCAACAAGACAATGCTCAAAAAATACCAATGTTAAGGTACAACAAGATTTATACTTTATGTGAGGAGGATGCTGTTTGGTTGGCAAATGGACTCTGATTGGTACAGGGGATACCATGGATAAAACACCAGTAAGATGATGACTGATAGACAACTGCCAAGCTTTGCTTAAATTTTAAAACAGGCAGATTGAGTCTAATTGGTCAACATATTGACCTGAGGAATTAACCACAGAATGGTTGTCATTTATTTTGTTGTATTGGAACAAGCACATTGTGTGTACATGTTCTTTTTATGTTTGCCAAAAATGGGGCCCCGTGAATTAAGATGTGTAGCTTCACATAAACACAAATGTGCCACACTATGAGCCTGACTGACAATCCTAAATTGTTTGTCAGTCTGATTGTTTATACACACAATTTGGCAAATTCTGTCCAATTAAGCAATCACACCTATTGTTGGACACTGTGTTGCAAGTTTTGCAAGTACAGTTGAGTATGGTCAGTACCTTGCCTGTTGTGAGCATCCAAAGGTATACATTGTTTAGTATGATCTGCCAGTCATTGGGTTGTATGGTCTACGTACCTAACATTATACTTCATATAACACAATACTCATTTGCGTGCTTTGCAGAACATCTTTTTAGCTTAATAGCAGCAACCTATTAGTTGCAAGCACCACCCATGTTGCTACTGCATTGCAGTAGCATGAAACATCTAACAATTTTTGTGTATTGTCCTGATGTCGAAACTTTTCAATAAAGTATGTCCTTTCTCAGCAATACTCAAATTCTGTAATGCTGAGCAGCTGTTAGAAAATAAAACAAAAATAATTAAAATAGAAACATGGAACATAAAGGTAGATTCCATAACTTTGGTTTCCCAGCACAGAACTTCACATGCATGAGCACTTGTTATGATTCAGTATGATTTAAAAGAAGGAGTAAAGAGATCATGCAGGTGATTATTCTGCATTCATAGCATTAACTTATGTCTCATGAAACACAAACGGATGCAACCAAATCACAACTTTCTGGGCAGTTCAAACTCTTATAATTGGGTTAGGCTAGGCATTCTGTCCTTCTAGAATCACAGAATCCCTATAGTGCAGAAAGATGCCATTCGGCCAATCAAATCTGCATGAATTACACAATGTAAGGGTTGGTAAAATGCAAAGTGTATTTGGTTTGCTGCTTTGCCATGCTATTTTAATCACATAAATACCCCCTGCTCAATACAATACAGAGCAGGCTGGATCTCAAATTTCTAGTTTTAAATTTAACTTTTGTTTACTAACTCTGATAGTTTCTTATTTGCCATGGTTACTGGGATTAGATCTGTCCCCATATTCTACAGGATTCAGGCTAAATGAAACATATTGTGTAATAAAATAGAATTATGAGGACCCCAGAATATGGTTCTTAATCAAGTGATAGCTCAAAGAAATTTTAATTCAGCATAACACCTCCCTTAATTGAAACACATTAAGATCTTGTCTGCAACATGCCCCTCACTGGGGTCCTCATCTCCTGGTTTCCAAACATACTGAGAGCCCATTCAGAATACAAGGTACATACTGTTGGTTGATCATGTATAGAGAGGAGCGGGTAGATGAAAAAGATCTAAACAACTTCACTTACTTCTTTATCCATTTTCTTCCAAAGACTCATTCTGTTCGTTATTCAAGTTACTCTCAGATATTTGGACCTTAGCTTGGAATTGTATGGTATCCTATCAGTTGAAAGAACAATGATGAACAGATTAGTCATTATCTGCATTTTAATGGACTTTAATAAGTCTTTGCATATGCATTATGTATAGTCTAAGGCATTGTCTCAATTGCTTGTGTTGTCTTGTATTACATTGCTTACAGCATATTTTAATATCACATTAATATCACAAATATTAACAACATTGCTGTGATGATCAAGTTCCAGCCTGTACCTAAGCATGTTGAAAAATCATGCAAATTTCCTGATTAGGAATAGTTATTTCAACCAACCCATTTAGATATGTTCCATGCACCCACTGTGCAGTTGCCAGTGGAATGGTTGAGGTGGATACATTAACACCATTTAGAAGGCATTTGGACGAATACATGGATGGGAAAGGTATAAAAGGATATGGGCCCAGTGCAGGGAAATGGGGTTAGCATGGATGTACATTGTGGTCGGCATGGACCAGTTTGGGCCGAAAAGCCTGTCGCTGTGCTGTAGGATTCTATGACTCCAGCTGGGACTCAATCTCATAGCTTCTGGATCAGAGGTGGGGACACCACCACTGTTCCATATGACCCATATCTGACTTGGTTGTACAAGCAAGAAAATGGGAGGATCTTCTTAGAGATCTCCTTAAATTATCGCCCAAAGGAGTTAAGAGACCCAATTAAATGTTAGCTGAAGCTTCAAGTTTGTCACCTCAATAAGGCATCTTAAATTTTGTTGGTGTGTTGTGCTAGGCAGCTATTTCTTGAAGTGAAAGCCAATTAAGACCAGTAAACCAGGATCCCACTAAAATTACAAACAGTAAAAAGAAATTGAATAAATCTTCGTAAAGTAAAATCTAAGTAAACATCAGTTCAGTAATCTGAACCAAATCCCCAGCTGGTCTCCAGGAAAGACACTTCAGTTTTAATAAGTGGTTGCACAGGGAAGAACAATTTACTGGCTTCATGAGGTGAGTCGATAACTTGAATACAGAAATGGACCTCCATGTTTCAGATCTGAAGCAACTTTCCCATCTAATGGCTGAAGCAATCCAGCAACTGAAAGGGGTGCATCTGTTTGAGAAGTCCTTAGTGTCCAGTGGAATATTAAAGCATAAGATTTTATCAGTAGCATCGAAGCAGACATTATTCTGAATTCTATTTCACTATTGAAGTAGAAGACGAAATACCAAAGACAGACTTCACATCCTCGTCGATTCTAGACAAAAGAGAGCAAACCTTCCTTTGCAATAACATTTGTCTCAACAAATACTTTGCTAGTTTGCTTTACGGGATTAAAACTCGACAGAGCTCAGAGCCAGCAGAGAAATGGTCAGCCAGCACTGCTATCAGAAGCTCCTCAGCACTCCAAACTGGGCCAGTTTCCGTCATAATCTATCCCTGTGTCACTATCATTCTTCCTCTCCGCCCTACTGCCCCTGCAGTTACTCCCTCTCTTTGCTCACAGTAACAACTTTCCAGCAGAAACATCCCCAGTCTAGCTGACTGACAGTGAGGAATTGCAGGAAAATAAATGCAAATTAGATGAGCACAAGATTCATGTAACCCGCATTTCTAGGCTCCCCTACTGCTACGAGCCCGGAACCACCCTCACTTCTACCCTGCTAATGGTTGTCAGTCTCTGTCTTAAGGCAACACAAAACACCACAGTATATCAACCATGAACTTAAAGTTCTCGAATCTTGCAGAAGAGATGATATGTGCAAGTTTTAGCATTGCTCTTACCTACCGCACTGACAGTTTGAACTTTGAGATTTAAATTCTGTCATGGGCAGAATGTTTGTCAATGCTTGTGTAACTTCAGATTGACTATTCAGAGTCATGTGCTGTAACAGCAGAATGATGAAACCAAACTAACCTCTGCTCCAACTCAGTCCTGATTATTTATAGAGGAGTCTATCTGCACAGTTAAACTAGCCCTGCACTTACACCAAAGCATGTTGCATTGAATCCATTTATTATCCACAAAAGTAAACATGGGGCACCTTGCAAAAGCCGGTCAACCATTGTCTATTTCACTGGCTTGAAAATTCACCAATGCAGTTCTTTTTCCTGTAGCTTGAGAGAAATCTCCTGCGACACATCGGCGTTTCCGTACTCAAATAAATGACACATGACGATATAGATCATCTTGGACCAGGGGAGGAAGAAAATGGCAAAGCTTCCCACTCCTAGTCAGTATTGGAAAATGTGCATGAGAATCAGATGATGGCATGTTTTAAACATCTGCTGATAAGCACTCTCTCTAATTCATTTGAAATAATAGGCTGGATCTGAATTCCAGGCTCCTGTCATGGGCCTCATTCAGTAACATTGATTTGGACACACTGCGGTCAAAACCCAGTATGAACTTTACCCATTTATTGAGTGTACAATACAATTTCCGGTTGGAATGTCTTCCATTTAACATGTGCTGCATAACCATATAATCGCTCAATATTTTTAGGCAATCCTGACAGCTCCCTGAAACTATTAAAATATTCAAACAAGGGTCATGTGGCTGTGTAAGGCCCCTTCCATAAAAGCCAGATGGAGCACTTGTTATGAAAATGCCAATTACTTAGAGGCATAGAGTTATAAAGTTGTACAGCTTGGAAACAGACCCCTCTGTCCAACTTCTTTCAGTTCTAAAATGCCCTAACCTAGGACCTTAAAGGGATGACTTGAATTTTGGCTAAAATTGCAAAAATATTGGATTGGAATTTAAAATCCAAAATGCAAGGCATGAAGCTCATCTGGAATTGATCCTCAGAACTCATTTGAAAATTGAGGTAAGCTTCATGGACCCATTTGCACCCCCAAAGGCAGCTCGCTTGCATTTTTCGAGCAATTTCTGTTTTTGATCCAATCATAGTTATTTCAGTGGGTTAGAGTAGAAGGTAGGCTTCGAAATGGGGCTAATGTCTCCCCCCTTGGTCTGTCTCTTTTTTACTTTCATTTTTTCTTACGTTAAATAGTTGAAATTCTTCCTCCTTGCTGATTCTGTGTTGAAACTACACTATCATCCTTTGAGGAGTTGGGCTCATCTTTAGCTGATTATGGTACATTCAATTACAGCAACAGATTGAAAAGATTTTCCAGCTCTCCTTTCACCTCCCTTCATCTTGTGATTTTTTTTTAAAAAACTTTTTCTATTTATTAATTTGTGGGACGTGGGTGTTGTGGGCTGGGCCAGCATTTATTGCCCATTTCTAGTTGTCCTTGAGAAGGTGATGATGAGCTGCTTTCTTGAACTGCTGCAGTTCACCTGCTGTGGGTTGACCCACAATGCCATTAGGGAGAGCATTCCAGGATTTTGACCCAGCGACAGTGAAGGAATGGCGATATATTTCCAAGTCAGGATGGTGAGTGGCTGGAGGGGAACTTGAAGGTGGTGGTATTCCCATATATCTGCTGCCCTTGTCCTTCTAGATGGAAGTGGTCGTGGGTTTGGAAGGTGCTGTTTGAGGATCTTTGGTGAATTTCTGCAGTGCATCTTGTAAATAGTATACACTGTTGCTACTAAGCTTTGGTGGTGGAGTGAGTGGATGCTTGTTGAAGTAGTGCCAATCAAGTGGGCTGCTTTGTCTTGGATGGTGTCAAGCTTCTTGAGTGTTGTTGAGGCTGCACTCATCCAGGCAAGTGGGGAGTATTCCATCACATTCCTGACTTGTGCCTTGTAGATGATGGACAGCTTTGGGGAGTCAGGAGGTGAGTTACTCGCCACAGTATTTCTAGCTTCTGACCTGCTCTTGTAGCCACTGTGTTTATGTGGTGAATCCAGTTGAGTTTCTGGTCAATGGTAACTCCATGATGTTGATAGTGGGGGATTCAGTGATGGTAACACCATTGAATGTCAAGGAATTTTGGTTAGATTATCTCATTAGTGATGGTCATAGCCTGACATTTGTGTGGTACAAATGTTACTTGCCACTTGTCAGCCCAAACCTGGATATTGTCCAGAGTTTGTTGCATTTGGACATGGACTGCTTTAGTATCTGAGGAGTCGTGAATGGTGCCGAACATTGTGCAATCATCGGCAAACATCCCCACTTCTGACCTTATGATAGAGGGAAGGTCAGTATGTTAGGTTTTATTGGTAGAGGGATTGAGTTTCGGAGCCATGAGGTCATGTTGCAGCTGTACAAAACTCTGGTGCGGCCGCACTTGGAGTATTGCGTACAGTTCTGGTCACCGCATTATAGGAAGGATGTGGAAGCATTGGAAAGGGTGCAGAGGAGATTTACCAGGATGTTGCCTGGTATGGAGGGAAGGTCTTATGAGGAAAGGCTGAGGGACTTGAGGCTGTTTTCGTTAGAGAGAAGAAGGTTAAGAGGTGACTTGATAGAGACATACAAGATGATCAGAGGATTAGATAGGGTGAACAGTGGGAGCCTTTTTCCTCGGGTGGTGATGGCTAGCACGAGGAGACATAGCTTTAAATTGAGGGGTGATAGATATAGGACAGACGTCAGAGATAGGTTCTTTACTCAGAGAGTAGTAAGGGCGTGGAATGCCCTGCCTGCAAAAATAGTAGACTCGCCCACTTTAAGGGCATTTAAATGGTCATTGGATAAACATATGGATGATAATGGAATAGTTTAGGTTAGATGGGCTTCAGATTGGTTTCACAGGTCGGCGCAACATCGAGGGCCGAAGGGTCTGTACTGCGCTGTAATGTTCTATGTTCTATGTTCTATGAAGCAGCTGAAGATGGTTGGGCCTAGGACACTACCCTGAGGAATTCCTGCAGAGATGTCCTGGAGCTGTGATAACTGACCTGCAGCAACCAAAATCCAAAATGTACACCATGAAGTTCATGTGAAATTGATCCTCAGACCTCGTGGAAATTTAGGTAAGCTGCATGGACCTATTTGCACTCCCAAAGGCAGCTTGCTTGTGTTTTTCCAGCAATTTCTGATTTTGATCCAATCATATTTGTTAGCGTTGAAGGTAGGCTTCAAAATGGGGCTAATGTGACTTTGTGTCAGGTATGACACAAACCACCGGAAAGTTTGCCTCCTGATAC